GCTGAACTCGGTGCAGTCTTTTTTTCCTGGGTAAAGAGACCTGAAGCCGAGCTGCAACTCACGACAGTTCCGAGCAATTTTAGGGTTGCTAACTTGCACCACTCTTCTCTGCAGCTGTGGCTTGAATAAGGAAGGGCCTGATGAGCGGACCTTGGCCAGGGGAGTGTGGTTCAAGGCTCCCTCTTAGCTGTGGAGTCTCTTGAGCAAAAATTCTACTTGGTGAGCTCCTGGCATTAAAGTGGTGAGCGAGCAATTGGGCTGCTGCATCAGTTAGTTTGCTCTGGAGCCCTCCTCCCTGAGCGAAGACAAGAATGCGTGAGCCGGAGGCTAAAAGACTGTGAGCTAGCTCACACTAACTCGGCTTAAAGGGAACATGGCTGGCAACCAAGATCGAGTTAATTCATGCCATAGTATTCCCCAGGGGTCATTTCCTGCAGGAGCACACAGGAGCAGAGCTCCGGCAGTAAAGAGCCCAGGGGGCGGGCACATGCAACAAGCCCCCACCCCCTGCTCCCAGCAGTCCTCAGTCAGAGCAAGAAGCAGCCAGGTAAGCTGCAGAGCCCTCCCGTCCCCCCCTCCAAAACAGTCCAGTGGCACCTTTAAGCCCAAGTTTTATTCAGGTACAAGCTCTCCCTCCTCTGCGAGGACAGATCTGCACATCCCCCCCCCAATAGCTAGCAATCCAAAACAGCCCAATGGCACCTTTAAGACCAAGTTTTATTCAGGTACAAGCTCTCCCTCCTCTGCGAGGGCAGATCTGCACGTCCCCCACCCAATAGCTAGCAATCCAAAACAGTCCAGTGGCACCTTTAAGAACAAGTCTTATTCAGGTACAAGCTCTCCCTCCTCTGCGAGGACAGATCTGCACGTTCCCCCCCCCGCCCAAATAGCTAGCAATCCAAAACAGCCCAGTGGCACCTTTAAGACCAAGTTTTATTCGGGTACCAGCTCTCCCTCCTCTGTGAGGGCAGATCTGCATGTCCAGCCCCCCCCCCCAAATAGCTAGCAATCCAAAACAGTCCCTGAGCGGTGGGTGTTGCCTTCTGGCACACTTCCGGTGACGTCAGGGGGTGTGATGATTTATGCTAATGAGTTATGCTAATGAGCTCCTGCACCTCTTTTTCTACGAAATGACCCCTGGAAAGGATTATAGTTTCCCTTCTTCCTTCTCTCCCCCCATGCCGTTTTCTTGGGATTTACCAGGTCCCCTCTGGCCACCAGCAGGGGAATGGGGGGGGGGGGTGGCCGGATCCAGGTTGGGGAACTCCTGAAGATTTGGGGGTGGAGCCTGGGGAGGACAGAGACCTCAGAGGGGTACAATGCCACAGAGTCCACCCTCCAAAGCAGCCATTTTCCCCACAGGAACTGATCTCTGTCGTCTGTAGATTAGCTGTAATTCCAGGGGATCCCCAGGTCCCACCTGGAGGGTGGCATCCCTAGACCCAAGGCAATCCTGCCGGTTAATTTGGAGGGGGGAAACTTTAAAAGAAACTTCAGCCCTCATGCATCTCGGCGAGTCTCACTTCTAAACAAGCAATATTTTGTATCGGGCTGTAGGAGGGTTGCCAACAACCAGACCAGTGTTCCCTCTAAGCTGAGTGAGTGTGAGCTAGCTCACCGTTTTTTAGCCTCCGGCTCACACATAATTGTCTCCGCTTGGGACGGATTGGCTCCAGAGCAAACCAATTCATGCAGTAGCCCAATCGCTCCCTCACACGTTTAATGCCAGGAGCTCACCAAGTAGAATTTTTGCTCACAAGACTCCACAGCTTAGAGGGAGCATTGAGACCAGTGTTCCCTCTAAGCTGAGTTAGTGTGAGCTAGCTCACCGTTTCTTAGCCTCCGGCTCACAGATTTCTGTCTCAGCTCAGGAATGAGGGCTTCAGAGCAGACTGATTTATGCAGCAGCCCGATCGCTCCCCCACAACTTTAATGCCAGGAGCTCACCAAGGAGAATTTTTGCTCACAAGACTCCACGGTGTAGAGGGAGCATTGAGACCAGTGTCCCCTCTAAGCTGAGTCAGTGTGAGCTAGCTCACCGTTTTTATAGCCTCCGGCTCACACATAGTTGTCTCTGCTTGGGACGGAGGGCTCCAGAGCAGACTAATTTATGCAGCAGCCAAATCGCTCCCTCACCACTTTAATGCCAGGAGCTCACCAAGGAGAAATTTTTCCTCGCAAGACTCCACAGCTTAGAGGGAGCATTGAGACCAGTGTTCCCTCTAAACTGAGTTAGTGTGAGCTAGCTCACCGTTTTCTTAGCCTCCGGCTCACACATTTCTGTCTCCGCTCAGGACTAATTCGTACAATAGCCCGATCGCTCCCTCACCCCTTTAATGCCAGGAGCTCACCAAGTAGAATTTTTCCTCGCAAGACTCCACAGCTTAGAGGGAGCATTGAGACCAGTGTTCCCTCTAAGCTGAGTCAGTGTGAGCCAGCTCACCGTTTTTTAGCCTCCGGCTCACACATATTTGTTTCAGTTTGGGAAGGAGGGCTCCGGAGCAGACTAATTCATGCAGCAGCCCAATCGCTCCCTCACAACTCACCAAGTAGAATTTTTGCTCATAAGACTCGACAACTTAGAGGGAGCATCGATCCAGACTCTGGTCTACAGAGATCAGTTCCCCTGGAGAAAAATGGCTCCTCTCTAGCACTCTACCCCACTGAAGTCCCTCTCCTCTCCAGACCCCCACCCGCCCCATGCTCTACCCCCAAATTTCCAGGAATCTCCCAACCCGGCGTGGGCGGTCCTCGTCTGCAGCCCTCTCCGGCACCGAGGGGACTCTGGTCCGTGTCACCTTGTGCGCGTTGTTTCCGTTACATAATCCTCCAGAGCGAGGACCGATTCTTGCTGGGACCAAGTTTCTGATTATACAATGGGGTGGGGGGCAGCCGGCCGTGTGCTCTCAGCACCCCTGAGCAAAAGCCTTCCAAGATGCTGAGTCCGGCCTGGCTACCTTGGGTGGTTTCGCCCTCCGCAATCCTCTCCGACCCGCACACCAAACGAGATTACCCTCTCAGAAAGGGTTTATGGGACAGAAGGTAAGGCTCTTAGGAGCCCTTAATCTCCAAGTTTGCCTCTGGGATGATCTGGATTAGTGTTTGATCTCTGCTTGAGCCATTAAGTGGATTCCCTCCTCTGGCACTCTATAACAGGAGGTCTGGGCCCTCGCTGCCCGGTTCTGCACGGCGATCCCAGCACCAAGGAGGATGTCTGGCGACGAAGACTTCTACCTTTACGCAAACATCTCCTCCGTGGGGCCTTTCGATGGCCCCCAGTACCACATCGCCCCAATGTGGGCCTTCTACTTCCAGACGGCCTTCATGGGGTTCGTGTTCTTCGCCGGCACGCCGCTCAACGCCATCATCCTGGTCGCCATCGTCAAGTACAAGAAGCTGCGGCAGCCCCTCAACTACATCCTCGTGAACGTCTCGGCGGCCGGCTTCCTCTTCTGCGTCGTCGCCGTCTTCACGGTCTTCGTATCCAGCTCCCAGGGCTACTTCATCTTCGGGAAACACGTCTGCGCCCTGGAGGCTTTCCTGGGCTCCCTGGCAGGTAAATAAACCGGTCAAAGAAAAGGCCTAAATGAGACGGTGGTGAGGCGGAGAGGGGTTGACCGAGTCGGCCACCCCAGGCCTTATTTGCCAGGGATATTTCCTAGTTTGGGTTCCTCTGTCCCTGCCCCTACTTTTGCCTTTAGGGAATTTTGATTTACGCCCCAGCTTTCACTCCAGTGAGGACCCAAAGCGGCTCTCCTCTCCTCCATCGTTTCCCTCACAACACCCCCGTGAGGTAAATTAGGCTGAGAGTGGCCCATGGCCGCCCAGCGAGTTTCCATGGTGGTGCAGGGATTCGAAACTGGGTCTCCCAGGTCCTAGCCCATCAGTCTAGACATTACACCACAGTGCATTGTTGCTGTTTTCCTTGGTGCCTACGAGCTTAAGGTTTCAGGATTCCGTTCCCCTCAGAGGGTCTGTAGAAATTGCACAAATATACATTCAGAAGGAGAAGAAGAGAAGAGGTTGGGTTTATATCCCTATACGCCCTTCACTCGGAGTCTCAGAGCGGCTTACAAACTCCTCTCCCTTCCCCTCCCCACAACAGACACCCTGTGAGTAGTGCTCCCCCTAAGCTGAGTTAGTGTGAGCTAGCTCAGTTTTTTAGCCTCTGGCTCACACATTTTTGTCTTAGCTCAGGAAGGATGGATCCAGAGCAAGACTAATGTATGCAGTAGCCAAATCCCTCGCTCACAACGTTAATGCCAGTAGCTCACGAAGTAGGATTTTTGCTCACAGGACTCCAGAGCTTAGAGGGAGCATTGCCTGTGAGATAGGTGGGGCTGAGAGGGCTCTTTCCAGAACTGTCCTTGAGAGATCAGCTCTGACAGAACTATGGCTTGCCCAAGGTCATCCAGCAGCTGCAGGTGGAGGAGTGCGGGATCAAACCCAGTTCTCCCAGATTAGAGTCCACGCACTTAACCACTACACCAAACTGGCTCATAGAATCCTAGAGTTGGCTAAAGATACCCAGCTCCTTCAACCTTTCCTCATTGGACTTGGTCTCCAGACCCCTCACCACCTTCATTGCCCTCCTCTGGAGAATGTGGCCCAAGGTCACCCAGCAAGGCCACGACATAAGCTGCTTCGGGTCCCCACTGGGGAGAAAGGGAGGATATACATGAATTAAATGAATAAATAGATCCGGAGAGAGGTGTAACAGGGCGCTTGAGAGGCCGTGGATCCCGGGATTCTGTTTGAGCTAGCTCTTTTCAGACCTCGCCTGCCTGTCTTTTCCCACCCAGGTCTGGTCACTGGCTGGTCCTTGGCTTTCCTGGCCTTGGAACGATACATCGTCATCTGCAAGCCCTTTGGGAACTTCCGCTTCAGCGCCAAACACGCCTCCCTCGTGGTGGCAGCAACCTGGTTCATCGGGATCGGAGTCTCCATTCCGCCCTATTTTGGGTGGAGCAGGTGAGGAAAGGTCAGGGAACCGGGGGGGGGCAGTTTGACTAGAAGACCGGCCGGAATACAAGTCCAGAGGAAAACCAAGCAAGACCAGTAGCAGAAGGTCACCAAGAAGCGAGCAAGCTTGGGGATTCCTACAGAGCTCTTTTTCACACAGGTTCAGGTTCAGGTTTTATTGCCTTTGGCCATAGGCCATTACAATGGCAGAACAATATATAAACTACCAGGGGTCATTTCGTAGAAAAAGAGGTGCAGGAGCTCATTAGCATAACTTTTTAGCATAACTTATTTGCATATACCACACCCCCTGGCGTCACCGGAAGTGTGTCAGAAGGCAACACCCACCAATCAGGCTCCACTGGACTGTTTTGGATTGCTAGCTATTGGGGGGGTCATCAGGCTCTCGAACAGGGGCCCTCAACGTCTTCTACCCTGTGGGCAGCTCTGCCATTGTGACATGGGGTGGGCGGGCACAGGCACAAAATGCCCGCAGGAGGCAGAGCCAGCCACAAAACGTAAGACTATGCGGAACACTTATAGGTTCAGGTTCAGTTTTTATTGCCTTCAGCCAAAGGCCATCACACTGACAGAATAAGAAAACTACTAAAAGCAGAAAATTTTTAAAAACCTAATTTAATACACAATAAAACATTGTAATAATTCCAATTTTTCCATCCTGTTCTCCGTAAGTAATCGAGCTATGGTGCTGCTACTATTCCCCCCCCCCCCCCAATTTTTTTTTCCCCCCCCCCCCCGAATTTTCTTTGCAGCGAGGGTGAAGAGGGCCGCCTTGTGTGAGATCCCGGCCTCTACGTCTGCTAGTAAAACTAGATTTTTTTTTCTGTTTCTGTTCCAGTGCCTAGGGTGGCCCAATTAGGCCTAGAAATTTCTCCCTAGGGGATTGATAGCACAGGCAGAATAACAAGTAAGAGAGACAGGTCTTCTGGCGCTGAGCCCCCACATGGGCAGAGATGCTGGGCAATAAGCGTGTCGGAATAGCGACCTTCCAGCATTGCTGTTTGCATTGATCGAAAGTGGATTGAAGTTAGTGCAGAGCGTAATTTGCTGAATGAGATCTTAGTTAAATATTCGGCCCTTTGATGGTCTGATCTGATTAGTTTGTAAAGGTAAAGGTAAAGGTTTCCCTTGCTCGAAAGCCAGTCGAATCCGACTCTAGGGTTGCGGTGCTCATCTCCGTTTCAAAGCCGAAGAGCCAGCGCTGTCCGAAGACGTTTCCATGGTCATGTGGCCGGCATGACTAAACACCAAGGCGCGCGGAACGCTGCTACCTTCCCACCAAAGTGGTACCTATTTATCTACTTGCAATTTCTTGCTTTCAAACTGCTTTGTTTGTACCAGGGTTCATTTCCTGCAGGAGCGCACAGAAGCGGAGATCCAGCAGTAAAGAGCCCAGGGGGCGGGCCAATGCAAGAAGCCCCACCCTCTGCTCCCAGTCAGAGCAAGAAGCTGCCAGGTAAATTGCAGAGCCACACACACCCCAGCCCCCCCAGTCCAAAATAGTCCAGTGGCACCTTTAAGACCAAGTTTTATTCAGGTACAAGCTCCCCCTCCTCTGCGAGGACAGATCTCCATGTTCAAACCCCCCCCCCCCATAGCTAGCAATCCAAAACAGTCCAGTGGAGCCTGAGTGGTGGGTGTTGCCTTCTGACACACATCCGGCGATGTCAGTGGGTGTGGCATATGCAAACGAGTCATGCTAATGAGTCATGCTAATGAGCTCCTGCACCTCTTTTTCTACTAAATGACCCCTGGTTTGTACCAAGGTGAGGATCTATTCTCTTGGACGACTCGCCTATCTTGGGCAGCGTCCTGGGTGTATATTTGCTCCCTGCCATTAAAGTCGGTCCGAAGGGGCCCATGAATTACATCTGGAAGATTATAGATTTGCAATATGGATGGTTAAGAAAAGGGGAAAGGAGAGAGAGGGAAACGAGGTGTCGCCGGGAAAGGGCATGGAGGATGCCATGGTGGTAGATGGCAGTGCTTTGTGCCTGTCTCTTCCACCATTAAACTGTTACGCAAATGGCTAGTCTGCATGCACCTCCTAGTGGGAGCAAAATACATGCGGAACGGGGTGGTGGTGGGGGTGACCCTGAAGAAATAAGCAAGGGAAATGAGAGTGCAGAAACCCCCAATGTCAGGAGACAAAGAAGTAATGGACACTCGGCTGTAAAATAACAGAATCATAGAGTCGGAAGGGGCCATAGAGATCATCTAGTCTGACCCCCTGCTCAATGCAGGATCGGCCAAGAGCAGGGCTGTCGAACTCATTTGTTATGAGGGCTGGATCTGACATAAATGAGACCTTGTTGGGCCGGGCCACGTGTGTCATAAAATGTAATGCCAGGTAGCGGACATATAAACTTTATAAAGGACACAAACACAAAGTTTTTTTTGAACTTAAAACAAAAACATGCTCAAAACATTAGCACTCTTTATTTAACAGTGTCTGATAACTGACACCTCTTGCTCTGAATTACCCCTCAACGTCCTCCAGACTGAACATTCTCAAGTCCCTTCGCCTTTATCATTTATCACTAGTGTGAACTGGAACCGGTGGGGTCTTTTATAAGGCAAAAAGACCCTGCCTCACAGCCACTGGTGAAAACTGCTTCAGGATGGTTCCCCTGCCCTTTTCTCCAAGGGGTGACGAATCTGGCATTCCACAGGCTGAAAAGAGACTTCCAAACTATCAGGTCTTGCTTCCCACCAGAGGTCAGGGTGTGCACCAAACCAACATCCAGCCCAAAAGAGGCCCAGTTTGATTGTGCGCTGGATACCAGTTTGGTGGGTATCACCGATCGGTTAGGCATAGTGAGAGGCAGGGGTCATTTCGTAGAAAAAGAGGTGCAGGAACTCATTAGCATAGCTCATTAGCATAACTTATTTGCATATGCCACACCCCCTGAATCACTGGAAGTGTGTCAGAAGGCAACACCCACCGCTCAGGTTCCACTGGACTCTTTTGGATTGCTAGCCGGTGGGGGGGGGACATGCAGATCTGTCCTCGCAGAGGAGGGAGAGCTTGTACCTGAATAACACTTGGTCTTAAAGGTGCCACTGGACTGTTTTGGACCAGGGGGCCGGGGGGGGCTCTGCAGCTTACCTGGCTGCTTCTTGCTCTGACTGAGGGCTGCTGGGAGCAGGGGGCGGGGCTTGTTGCATGTGCCCGCCCCCCTGGCTCTTTACTGCCGGAGCTCCGCTCCTGTGCGCTCCTGCAGGAAATGACCCCTGCTGCTGGGTATTGCATTCCAAAAGCTGGAGAGAGGTTCCCAGTAGTCAGGGTAACATCTCCCATCCTCAGCTCATGTCAGCATATCGATACCACGGTTGGAGCCCTTCTCTCCAGTCTCCGTCGCCTGCTGTTCAATCCGGCCCTCTCTTTCAGGTTTATCCCGGAGGGCCTGCAGTGCTCCTGCGGCCCCGACTGGTACACAGTGGGGACCAAGTACTACAGCGAATACTACACCTGGTTCCTATTCGTCCTCTGCTTCATCGTGCCCCTCAGCATCATCGTCTTCTCTTACTCGCAGCTGCTGAGCGCCCTTCGAGCCGTGAGTACCCCGTCTGTGCACGCACGCGTGTGCTTGTACGAATGCTATGGGGAAAGGTTAAGGCGCTTAGGGCTCTTTAGCTTGGAGAAAAGACGACTGAGGGGTGACATGATCGAGGTTTATAAGATTATGCATGGGAAAGAGCAGGTAGAGAAAGAGGTACTTTTCTCCCTTTCTCACAATACAAGAACTCGTGGGCACTCCATGAAACTGCAGAGCGGTCGGGTTAGAACGGATAAAAGGAAGTACTTCTTCACCCAAAGAGTGATTAACACATGGAATTCACTGCCACAGGAAGTGGTGGCGGCTACAAGCATGGACAGCTTCAAAAGGGAATTAGATAAGCATATGGAGCAGAGGTCCATCAGTGGCTATTAGCCACAAGGTATAGCTAGGGGCTCTGGGGCAAGTGATGCTCTGTCTTCTTGGTCCTTGGGG